AACAGTGAGCTAAACGTGCACGGTAAGCACTATGATCCGGGCCTACTCCCTCTTTTTAGTGTGTAACGATGGCTAATCACTTGGCACTCAACTTTGCCACCTTAAATGTCCGAGGTTCGGCCTCCAAGAAAAAGCAGGCTCAAGTGTACCGCTTGTTAATTGACCAAGACATCCACGTGTTAGCCATACAGGAGACAAAAGGGGAAAGTGAGGAGGAGACCCGGAGCATGATGCTGCGGTTTACGTCTAAATATTATTCCGTAGTTCGTCACGCAAATGGAAATCTCACCGGTTGTGTGCTTTTTGTTAAAAAGATTCCGGGATTTATTGTTCAAAGCCACTTCTCTTGCGACTCCAGCAGAATATCGGTTTGAGATTTTAGTACGAGCGAAATTGAATAGCACCTCATTGGTGTCTATGCGCCAAACTTGGAGGCTGACCAAGAAACTTTCTTTTCGTTAATTAAGCAACATTGACGGACACCAAAACAGCTTATTTTATTGGAATATTTCAGTCGTGTATTGAGCGCAAAGGATAGAAATAATAACCACCGTGTGCGAGATAGAAGTGTTGAAGTGCTCTATGGCTTGCTGAATGAATTCAACCTGGCTGGTGTAGCGGACTGCCTCGAGACAGGTCATGAAATTCGTTTTACGCCTTTTCAGGGTACCAGACACGCACGGCTTGATAGGATATACATGGCTGGGGAGGCGATAGCCTAAAGCAATCTTACACAGTCTTGCCTGCTTGTTTCTCTGATTATTAGAGAGTTTTAGTACTGTGTACGCTGCGTACGTGGCGGCGTTGCGTACGTAAGGACGCCACGTTCTGCGTAGTGCGCATGCGCACACCGCAATGCGCACGTATCGCGTTACGTACGCAGCCGCTACGTACGCACGTACGTATGAGCTGATCGCGCCGCTCTCGAACAAGTTCGCGACAGCGCGAGACTTCGTTTTGCAAAATGGCGTCATCGAAGGCAAACACCGACCGGCTCTGTGGCTTAAAATATGGCCATAATCTGGCTATAACACTTGGATTGGCTCACATTTGCTGTCAACAACACGTGCTTCTATTTTGATCTACCAGATGGCGCAACCCGCTTCACGCTCGTTACGTACGCGGGTACTACGGCGTACTAAAAGCCGATTAGTGGTAAACGACGCCACGTAACGCAAGACGCTTGCGTGATGCGTACGTAGCACCATTCCGCAGTACTAAAACTCTCTATTGTCTTGTACAATGCAACGTGAGACTTAAACAAAAAGAAAACAAATTTAGTTGGGATTTAAGGAAGTTTAACGCTAAATTGCTTCGGGATGAAAACTTTAATAACTTAGTGATAGAGGGAATTAAGAACATAAAAGTGATCGGCGCCTGTAATATTGGCGAGGAATGGGAACTTTTGAAGCAAAGCGTTCAAATGAAAGCCATATTGAAATCTATCGAGTTTTAAGAAATGAAGAAAAAATGAAAGAAAATGAACTAGCCAAAAACAACAGTCAAGAAATTGATAGCACTAGAAAGTAAGGAGCCCGGTGCATGTAAGGAAGATATTCGATCAATAAAACGACAAATTGAGCAATTCGAGCAGGAACTCTTCAGAGGAGCCCTTCTTCAAGCGAGAGCAGAGGTGTGGGCTTTACAGGAGACTCCTATCAAGCACGCGCTTAGAATAAAAAAATAACGAGCGCGTCGTAGTCACATCGACAAAATAGAGAAAAATGACATTGTGCTAAATACCAACAACAGCATCACAGAAGCCTTCTCTTGGTATTACAAGAGTCTCTTCACAGCCACATTAGTAGACGTTACAAAGTTCAATGACATTTTCCTGTGCTGGATGCCGCAAGTATCCCTCAAAACGAAAGAGGCGTTAGAGAGGCCTATAACCGTATCTGAAATTAAAAACGCAATAGATAATTTCGCCGCGGGCAAGTCACCTGGACCTGATGGTCTTGGTGCGGTGTGGTATAAAGCTTTTAAAACAGAAGTCTCACCAGAGTTACAAGCTGTCTTTAAGTAAGCCTACACAATCAAAGCATTACCCCCTTCATTTGCCGAGACGCGCACTATTCTAGTACCAAATACAGGTGAAAAAGCAAAATTAAAATTTGTTTCGCCATATGAGGCCCATTTCGCTAACCAACACTGGCTACAAAATATTCATGAAAGTATTGGCAGGTAGAATGCAGTCCGTAATCGCCGAAATAGTTTGGGAGCACAAAACACGTGACATCAAGGGGCGCCCCATATTTGCGAAGACACACACAATGCGTTGTGTCTTTGAGAGTTGTGAAGCTTCTCAATGTCATGTTGCTATCCTCCAGCTTAATTTAGAGAAGGCGTTTGACTGCATCCTGCATGACGTGCTATTCTCCATACTTGAACATGTCAACGTTGGATCGGTGATTACCAAGCGCATAGTTTTGGCGTATAAGAACTGTAAAGCGCGACTAATCAATAACAAGATCCCGGGGTATCCCATCACACTAGAACGTTCTGTACGCCAGGGCTGTCCGGCAAGTTCACTCTTGTTTGCATTGTACATAGAGAGCTTGTGCTTAGTCATAATAGAAAACAAGGCCATCCGCGGTTTCAGGCTGCTTGACGCCGAGTTAAAAGTTTTGGCACACGCTTATGATGTAGCAGTGTGTTTTACCTCCAAAGAAAGTGTACAAGGGACAGTTGCCGTTTTCGAAAAAAATTGGAGAAATTACAGGAAGTTGGGGAAATGGGGAAAGTGTCACATATCTATGCAACCCCACATACCTATGCAAACGTTCAATGGTTTAAAACTCCAGTAAAATACATAGTTGTGTCTTTCCAGCACTACAAAAACATTAATGACTACTGGACTGAACAAATAAAAGAAACGCGCGAAAAGACAGCGCAGTGGAGCGGCAACTGTCTCTCAATGTTGGCCAGAGTTACTGTATGCAACATATTTTATTGAGCAAATTATGGTACGTGATGCAGGTTTTGTGTTGCTCACAAGTGTACGTGCAAAAGCTGCATAGAATATTTGCTGTTTGTATGGGGATCCACGTGGTAAAGATGTGGGATTAATCTGTTCCGAAGAGCTAAACAGGGGGACTAAGCCAGTCTCATCTGTTCGTACGACACCAAGTTAATCGTTTTATTTTCTTTCGAGATCTTCGACACCCCTTCTTGTGAATGGTATGCCAGTTACGCCTTTCTCATGTTTTGTCTAACTTTGTGGTTAGCCCCGCAAGCATGCCCGGAGCCACGCGAGGTTTCTTTAAGGAAGTTGCGGACAGTGTCCGCTTCTTGTCAGTTCGGATTTCCAATGAATCATGTTTTCGGTCGGGCGAAATAAATTGAATAAAGACATGTGCGACATGATTTTTACGGTTCCTATGTATAGGTTAATTAATAGCGGGGAGAGGGCAATGATGTTCTTAAGCATGTTAAGAAAATGTCAATTCAGTCAAGTGCAAAAAGTTTTTTTCTTTAAATTACATACGGCCACGTTAGCGGTAGTGACTTTTTTTAGAAGATAGATGATTGTAAATCATGGGGTTCGAAGTATTTGTTTGATCTGCTGAAAGCCGAAGACAATAAATTACGTTTTTTTTGCATTGTTGGGAAGGGGTCTACTTCTAGGATGTTTTACAGAGAACTCTAAAAAAGGAACTTCCCTTACATTCACTGGGTATCCGGTTTGTAAGAGTAGAAAAAGAGGATGGACTGCCTTTTGGTCCCATAATACTGATTGGCTTCCATTGTCTACGGTGGGCTATAATGGCTGGTTACTAATGTGACCCTGAAACTCGTCCTGCACGTGTGCTTTTTCGCGAAAGCATAGCTCAATACGTTGATATACTCAAAGAACAAGACTTTGTTCCGGGATGGCTTTCCAAGGTTGAACCCCTGGTGAACCTAAAAGAATAATAGTACTGTAACCACTAATAATTCCGCGACTGTCTTGTCATCGCTTCTGTTGTGTATAGTATTGTTCATAGCGACCTATGTTGATGTTTCTACACCGTGCATCATCGGTGTTATAGAAAAAAAAGTACCGATGTGGTATGGTGGTTACCGTATCAAGCTCGCAATGTGTTGTGCATCTAGAAGTCGAAGGTTCGAGTCCAACAGAGTCATCTTTTTTGCGTTTTCTTCTTTTTTTGTGGTGCTCGTGTTTAGCCATTCTGACCATCCACGCGCGAAGAAATCGGTTCAAAACAATTAAAAACCCAATTTCGGTCCAATTTCTGCATTTGTTTCGGGAGTTGCACTGTTACCCTGCTTCGAGCAGCGTTATGTACATCTGTTGGGGGGGAGTGCTTTCACCCGTTCAGGGAGAATCACTGTACTCTGTCTCAACAAGAGTTGATTTATTCTGGGAAAGAAAGTAAAATATGGGACAGGAAAGCACTCTCCCAAAGAGAACACCTGTCACTATTTTAGTTTTTATAGTGTACAGCCAAAAGTAGGGTATGGTACTTGTAGTAATTATGATACAACGGTGTCATAATATATCACTACAAATAGTGCTCCACCGCAATGGTCCAGTGGTTAAGGCTCTCGGCTACTGAACCACAAGTCGTGGGATCGAATCACGGCTGCGGTGGCTGCATTTACGATGGAGGCAAAAATGCCGTAGGCCCATATGCTCAGATCTGGGTGCTCGTTAAAGAACCCCAGGTAATCCAAATTTCTGGCGTGCTCCACTACGGCGTCTCTCATAATCGTATGGTGGTTTGGGACGTTAAACCCCACATATCAATCAATAAATCACTACAAAGAGCATCTGCTACACATTCCTTGGCATTATTGTCTGTTAGTTCTCGCTAATGTTGTGTGTAACAAAAAAACGAGCCCTTGTCATCACCTTCTTCCCTTCTCAAACACACGCACACATAAATTCATAACATTTGCAAGCATTGGCAGTGCTAAGGATTTTGGGCACATGAGTAGATGAAAAAATGGCAAGTGGTGACGACGTTATAATGAAGTCGAGGCAGTCCTCCTCTCACCTGTGTGTACTTGACGACGGGGTTCCTGATGGGTCCCATGGCGACGCCGTCTGGTCACCAGCAGCTCAGTGCGAGAACTGGTATGTACGCGCTGAGGCGGACGATAAGCGCCACCGTCGGAGCGACGTCAGTGGCCGTCGAGGGAAGCACGACGACGAGGAAAATCCTCGCGTGTTGAGCCACGTTTCACCGCGACCTCGTGCGTCGAGAGAAAACAAACTAGTTCGCACTGAATGAACGCATCCCCAAGCTTCCGGGGGCGGGATTCAAGCTGCTCCCGCTGGTTTGCGACATAGTATGCCACCATTATCAGCAGAAAACCGTCGACGCGGCATGTCTGGTCGAGCATGCGCACGAGGCGAAGGGTCCCATTCTTTCACTCAGTGCACGGGACCGTCATTGTCCAAAGAGCAAGTTTGTATCCACGAAGGTTTTTGGCGATAATAGGGAGTTTTCGAGTAGCACATACTAAGTTAGCGGGCCTAGCATTTGCGTACGGACGCTACGAGTTTACGAATAACATTTCGCCCCAAAAACGCTGACGCACGCTCGCTCACCGCAAAGGGGTTTGCGGGTCGCACGCTATTTCGGATTTTTAGCGGGCGGACCGCAAGCACGAACGGAGGTACGTGCAAGCAAACCACAGCGCGTTACGCCGCATGCGCAGTGACAGCAACCACACCTTAAAGGCTTGCGGTACACCATTCGAAACTCCCTATTGGCGGCTAAAAGCCCATGATGTTGCATTTCAAGCACTGTTAACATGTTCTCGTGGTATAGCTGTTCGAACGCACGAAACACTACAAAGGAACACAGGATCAGCGGTTATCTTGTGTCCCATCATGCACGCTGGACACTATCCTCCCCTACACGCCTGACTCATCCGAGTACACCGCAATTTCTCATGTTGCCAGGCACGCCGAAGATTGCAGACAATTAGCCCAAGATTTCAGACAATTGGTCCGTTCACTGACAACCTAGGACCAAGGCCACCAGAAGCTATGGCATGACAGCGACCAACCTCTCCTTACTTTCACGACTGGTGCCTTCGTTTGACTTTGGCCCCACCACGGTGGACTGGTGGCTGAGATACTCGGCTGCTGACTCACAGGTCGCGGTATTCAATCCAGGCTGCGGCGGCTGCATTTTTGGTGGAGGCGAAAATGCTTAGGTCCGTCTGCTCACACTTGTGTGCACGTTAAAGAACCCCAGGCGGCCCCGCCGCGATGGTCTAGTGGCTAAGGTACTCGGCTGCTGACCCGCAGGTCACGGGATTGAATCCCGGCTGTGGCGGCTGCATTTCCGATGGAGGCGGAAATGTTGTAGGCCCGTGTGCTCAAATTTGGGAGCACGTTAAAAAACCCCAGGTGATAGAAATTTCCGGAGCCCTCCACTACGGTGTCTCTCATGATCATATGGTGGTTTTGGGAGGTTAAGCCCCACATATCTATCTGAAGAACCCCAGGCGGTCAAAATTTCCAGAGCCCCCACTACGGTGTCTCTCGTAATCGTGGTTTTTGGGACGTTAAACTTCAAATATTGTCACAGGGTCATGACGTGGCCGAAAGCAGAAGACTGAATGGTCAGATCAAACTGTCGGAAAGTCAAGTTACAGTAGCACACTTGCACTGATATCGTCGATAAACTGACAAGCGGCGAAGCGTGTCGGAATCTATACAATAGCCATCGAACTTTCTGGCGTTGCCGCTAGCGACGAGGTAGATTCCAGAGTAATCTGAATTCCTCACGAAGTGGGCGTAACCTCAATAAAATGATCCACTACAGTCCTGATTTTCTCGAACACTGTAGCCGCGGTTTGCGCAGAGAATCGCGTACAGCGTAACGATGTGACAAGAAAACTAGAGGAAGAAACGTGGCAGTGCCCCCTCTGAAAAAGGCATCATCCCGATGCTCTAAAAGATTATTAATGTGAATAAATATTGTAAGAAAGTACAATTAATAAAGTGCAATACAGCAATAACAACAACAACAACAAAATACACTCTTTTAGTTCGATAACGTTAATGAAAGGGCTTGAGGCGCGCGACATGGACGACTTCAGGTCGTGATCGGCGCCATTGAGAATTCGTAATGCCGAGACAACCTCAGAGTCGAGTGGGCCGAGACGTCGTACTACCCTGTAGGTAGTACGATGGCCGTCAGCAGTTATCGCTCCCAAGAAGCAGTCGTCATTGAGGTCTTCGGGTGGTGGTGGGTCAACGGGGGCTCGCGACAGGCAGTCGGCGTCGGGGTGTTTTCTGCCGGACTTGCAAATGATGGTATGATGTCGTATTCTTGAAGTCTCAGGCAACATCGAGCAAGGCGGCCTGAAGGGTCCTTCAAGTTAGCTAGCCAACACAAGGCGTGGTGGTCGGTCACAACTTTGAAGGGCCTGCCGTAGAGGTAAGGACGAAGCTCTAACGTCGCCGAGATGATGGCAAGGTACTCCTTTTCTGTTGTGGAATAATTGCTTTCTGCCTTGGATAGTGACCGGATAGCGTTAGTAATAGCCCTTTCCAGTCCATCAGTTGTCTGCACAAGAACGGCACCGAGCCCTGCGCAGCTTGGGTCAGTGTGCACTTCTGTTTAGGTTTTTCGTCGAAATGCGCGAGTATCGGAGGCAACTGAAGGCGTTAATTGTTATAGTTCCCCAAATGTTTCTTCCTGTGGAGTTTCTCACTTGAACTCGACGTCACTCCTCGTAAGGTTCCTGAATGGCTCGGCGACGCGGGCAAAGTTTCTGACGAAGCGCCTGTAATAGGCGCACAGGCCGAAAAATGGACGTACGGCCTCCTTGTCGGCGGGCGGTGGAAATGCAGCGATGGCGGCTCTCTTCTGCGGATCAGGTCTCACTCCGGACTTCGTTATCACGTGGCCCAAGAACAAAAGTTCCTCGTACGTGAAGCGGCACTTTTCTGGCTTCAGAGTGTGTCCAGAAGCCTTGATGGCTTGAAGTACAGCTTCAAGGCGCCGAATATGCTCGTCGAAGTTTGAGGAAAACACGACGACGTCGTCCAAGTAAACGAGACAAGTTGATGATGACATGTGGGGTTTAACGTCCCAAAACCACCGTGTGGTTATGAGAGACGCCGTAATGGAGGGTTCCGGAAATTTCGACTACCTGGGATTCTTAAACGTGCACCCAAATCTGAGCACACGGGCCTTCAACATTTCCGCATCCATCAGAAATGCAGCCGCCGCAGCCGGGATTACAAACCGCGACCTGCGGGTCAGCAGCCGACTACCTCAGCCACTAGACCACCGCGGCCGGGCAAAACGAGACAAGTTGGCGACTTCAGTCCTGCCAATACTGTGCCCATTGTGCTTAGTTCAAACGCAGTCCTTTAGTTAATCCAGCAGGGTTTGTGAAAGAAAGTGAACATAAAAGAAAAAAATCTAGATTTTTTTGTCAGCAAAGCCCCAGACCGACGCATCAGCACAACAATACTTAATCTATCTCGAAGAACTTTCTCGTACCTTGGTCTGTTATCGTGCATGTGTTGTTTCGCCGCATATAAGAACAGATGCACCTCAGTTTCAAGTGTGTGCTTTTTCCCTGACCGTTTTCGTTCCAAAATTTGTTGCTTTCTATATACGGCATTTAGAGCGAACCAACTAGCCCAACCCAGGCCCCTCAAAGTCAGTCCTCAAGAGGCCATTGACGTTGGTGTTCCTGGCCGGAGGAGGACCTCGTCGTCAGCTCGGCCGAGCACCGCCGTGGAGAGACCACATCCGCTCCTGATAGCACCAGCGATGTGATGTTTGTGAACAGCGAGATAGGGCGCTCTTCTTCATCGGTTACAACAAAGCGAAGCGATAACGGTGAAGGAAGCGTAGGAATAAATAACCTTGTCGCTGAGATATGCTAGCTTAAAATGTACTTGTCGGCTGAGCATTACGGCGTACAGCTGGGCTCAACAGATGAACGAAATGGCAAAAACACAGCACTGGAGGAAAACGAGTCTCCAAAGAAGAGGGCGCTCTCTATCGGTACTAGAAAACTGCACGGTCTACAACTGATACGCGCGCAGTATGTATCGATGTTTCATTTATAGAACACATCTACTGTGCACCACGCTACAACTGACTCCTCTGCTCCAAGGCGAGTGCCGACGTTTCGTCAGACCGCGTACTACACGCCCGAGTACTCCACCTTTCTGTTAGTACATGCGCATAGCCACTCGATTTACGCAAATATATATATATATATATATATATATATATATATATATATATATATATATATATATATATATATATATATATATATATATATATATATATATATATATATATATATTAAAATAGAGGTGTTGTACGTCGAAAAAGGTTCAGACGCAGCTTGGCAAAATGTGCTTTATCAGGCAGGTCTGGCTAATGGCGAGCGGCGTGCGCGAGCTACTACAACAGCCACCGATCATCATCGTCTTCTTCATTGCCAGCAGAGCGTCCGTTATTCAGATTCATTAATTCATTACAATTACTCCCCGCGAAATAAGGAGCCATCCTGGCGACCTATGGACAAGTAAACACGGGAGGGTCGTAGCAGGGCTTAAGTCTCGAGACGTGGACAATTTCCTGGCCACGACGACGTTGGTCAGAAAATAGTTCCAGTGGCTCAATGAGGTAATTCACTGGTGACGTCTTTTGTAGCACACGATATGGGCCGTGATACTTGGAGACCAACTTGGTAGAAAGGCCAGGTGTAGCAGAAGGGACATGCAGCCTGACGAGTGAACCTGGATCGTAGGAAGTAGTGTTATTTGATGCGTCATGGTGGTGCTTTTGGCGTCCTTGGTCTTGGGTTGTAAATGATCTTGCCAGTTGGCGGCATTCTTCAGCGTATGTAGCGGCTTGAGACAAAGTCGTGGACACTGAGGAGTCAGGTTTGTACGGAAGAATGGTGTCCATAGTGCAACAAGGTTCACGTCCGTAAAGGAGGAAAAAAGGAGAGAACCCAGTAGTGCTTTGAATGACTGTATTATAGGCGAACGTCATAAACGGGAGCACTCGGTCCCAATTGGAGTGGTCTGACGAGATATACATAGACAGCATGTCACCAAGGGTGCGGTTGAAGCGCTCTGTCATTCC